GTTTATAGAAAAGTCATATCCTTCTTCCTTGTTATCCCTCACCTGCCCTCCACAAGAAAGGCAAGGTTGTCTTTCCCTTCCTGTTTGTGGATTACCTTCATGGCCTGAAATACAACTGAGTGGGAAATACGACATGTGGACATTTAACTTGATGGTAAAATATCACAGATTAGTTTCCTGAGCTGCTTGTTCCTCAACAGCTAATTTTAAGGACAGCGTGAAGAGAGCCAAGTTTCAGAGCATCATGTTCAATGCATTTGGAGTAGGTACCAAGCAAAAAACACAGGGTGATTTCAGCATCCCTCCCACATTTCCATTTGTCCTCTGATGAGCTTCTCTTCGGCTTTCGTCTCTGTTATAAAATATCCATGTTCTTCTTCGTCTTTTTTTTTTTTTTTACCTTGTCCTACTTTATTAACCCCAGGGAGGATTTTAAGTTTTCAAAGCTAAGCATCCCCAATTGCTCGAGGCTGTCTTTGGCTGTAAGTCAGAATATAAAGCAATTACCCTGAAGGTAGGGTGTTTTCATGGCCAGTGTGAAAATACAAAAACATCTGAAGATAACTGAAGATATCTTCTTCTATGTAAACCATTTCCAGTGAGGTTTTTGGTTGCTCACCTTCATTTCTGTGGGGTTTTCTTTCTTCCTTTCTAAGGGGAATGTACAACAATACCTGCACAACAACAGAGTAGATGAATATTTGTACCACAATAGAGTAGGGTTTAACTTGGTCCAAGTACTTGGGCCCCTGTAACCCATCTGGGAAGTATATATGGAGTTCCTGGCTCCAGGCTTTGCCATGGCCCAGACTTGGCCATTGTGGCCTTTTGGAGAGTGAACCAACAGATAAATAATCCCTCTCTCTCTCACACACACACACTCTCTCTGTCTGTCTGCTGACTCAAGTCTGCAGACTCTACCTTAAAAAAAGAGATCATTTATTCTATTTGCAGCCTGGTTGCCACTGTGTACAGGCAGGACCACCTTGTCCCTTTTGATGAGATGGTATCTGTTGTTCTGGTCTACCTATCATGTTGCATCCAGCTCTATGGAGCTAAAAGACAAGTCAGACCAAACCTCTCTAGTACACCAAGACCTGCAGCAGCTCACCTTGTTTGTGGATTGGCACAGCATCAGAAATGGCTTTTCAACCTCCCATTCTTGTCCTCACAGCTTTCCTACCATCGGGTCTATTGCCCTATTCACTGCCCTTGACTTGCTGTGCCCAGGCATCTCAGGTCTTTCACTAGCACTGCTCCTCTGCCAGAAGACATTGTGGCACACTTCTTACCCATTGAAATACCATTGGTATTTTTTTAAATTTGTTTTTTTTAATTTGTTTTTATTGACAGGTAATCATTTTATGTATTTATTGGAAATAGTGTGATGTTTTGATACATGTTGTAATCATCACATCAGAATATTTAGGGGCCAGTGTTGTGGTGTAGTGGATTAAGCCACCACCTGAACCACTGGCATCCTGTATGAGCATGGATTGAAGTTCTGGCTGCTCAGCTTCCAATCCAGCTTCCTTCTAATGCACTTGTAAAAGCAGCAGAAGATGATCCAAGTACTTGGACCTCTGTCACCCATGTGGGAGACCTAGATAGAGTTCCAGGTTCCTGTTTTCAGACTGGTCCAGCCCTGGCCACTGTGACCATTTGGGGAAGCAAACCAGCAGATCGATAATTTCTCTTCCTTTCTTTGTCTTCCTCTCTCTCTGTAACACTGCCTTTCAAACAAATAAAGGAGATGTACAATTTGGGACATGCTCAATCGGACTTGCCCCAAATGGTGGAGTTAGAAACGTGCCAGGGGATTCCAATACAATCCCATCAAGGTGGCATGTACCAATGCCATCTCACTAGTCCAAGTGATCAATTTCAGTTCACAATTGATCACACTGATAGGTCTAAGAGTCAAAGGGATCAGACAATGGAAGGGGAGAAGGAGTGGGAGAGGGGAGTGTTGTGGGTGGGAGGGAAGTTATGGGGGGGGGAGCTATTGTAATCCATAAGCTGTACTTTGGAAATTTATGTTCATTAAATAAAATAAAATATAAATAAAAAAAACCAAAGGGATCACACAAACAAGACTAGTGTCTGCCAATAACAACTGATAGAATCAAAAAGGGAGAGAACGATCCATCATGGGAAGCGGGATACACAGCAGACTCATAGAATGGCAGATGTCCTGAATAGCACTCTGGCCTCAGAATCAGCCCTTAAGACATTTGGGTCTGGCTGAAGAGCCCATGAGAGTATTTTAGACATGGAAAGCCAAGATACTCTGGAAAAAAAGAAAAAAAAGAAGACCTAAATGAAAGATCTCTGAGAGTGAGATCCCAGTGGAAAGAACAGGGTCATCAAAGAAGGAGGTACCTTTCTCTGAAGGGAGGAGAGAACTTCCACTTTGACTATGACCCTGTCAGAATAAGATCAAAGTCGGCGAACTCAAAAGGCTTCCATAGCCTTGGCAACTCATGACTAGAGCCTAGGGAGATTACTGACGCCATAAACAAGAGTGTCAAATTGTTAAGTCAACAATAGGAGTCACTGTGTACTTACTCCTCATGTGGGATCTGTCCTTAATGTGTTGTCCAGTGTGAAATAATGCTATAACTAGTACTGAAACAGTATTCTGTTCTTTGTGTTTCTGTGTGGGTGCAAACTGATGAGATCTTTACTTAATATATACTAAATCTATCTTCTGTATATAAAGAGAATTGAAAATGAATCTTGATGTGAATGGAATGGGAGAGGGAGCAGGAGATGGGAAGGGTGCGAGTGGGAGGGAAATTATGGGGGGGGGAGCCATTGTAATCCATAAACTGTACTTTGGAAATTTATATTTACTAAATAAAAAAATAAAACTTTTTTAAAAAAGCTTTTATTTTTAAGATTTGTTTTATTTGTATTACTTATTTGAAAGACAGAGTTACAGAGAGTGATCTTCCATCCATTGGTTCACTCCCTAAATGGCTGCAATGGCCAGAGCTGAGCATTGCTCAGCCAGAAGCCAGGAGCTTCTTCTGGGTCTGCCCTTGAACTGGCACCCACAAGGGATGTCAGTGCTGCAGGTGGTGACTTTACCCACTAAGCCACAGCATTGGCCCAATAAATCTTTTTTTTTAAGGAATATTTAACATATCATCATCTTATACATTAATCACTACTTTATGGCAAGAATATTCACAATCCTTTGTTCTAGCTATTTTTAAATATAAAATACATTGTTGTTAATTAATGGTCATCCTACTATGCAATAGAACACCAGACCTTATCTTTCCTATCCAACTGTGACTTTGCAGCTCTTGGCCAATCTCTCTCAACCTGTCCCCTCAAACTCCCCAGCCTCTGCTATCTATTCTTGTGCTCTGGACTGCTGGGAAAAGATCAACTGAGTTAGATTGTGCATATGAGTGAGATCTTATGATATTTATATTTCTGTGCCTGTTTTTACCTATGTTCCTGTGAATGATAGGATTTCATCCTCTTTAATGACCAAATTGCATTCCATTTTTTGGGGATGGGGTAACAGTACACATTTTCTTAATCCATTGATCCATTAATAGACACTTGGGTTGATTTCACATCTTAGCTCTTTCAAGATCCAGTTCAAATCTCATCTCTTTAGCAAAATTCCTTATGAACACTTGTCACAATCAAACTTATTTTAATATAAATTTATACCAATTTCTTTCAGTAAACTCCTGCTGGATTATTAGTTCCAAGAGCAGGTTTATATTGTCTCAAAAACCTGTTGTAGAATGCATCCTCAGTAAACTTCTGCTTTTAATCATTTTAGACTGGTTATTCGCTCCTGTAAGCCTTTTAAAGCCATTTACAGCTTCTTTTCTTGCCCAGATTTTAATTATACCTTTTCATTTTCAAAAGAAAAAAATCACTAGCTAGAATCTTGGGAATTTATTGTCAATTATAGATGGGAATTAAATAGTAATTGGCCAGAATTTTCTTTCTTGTTATTAAGTCTTTCCATATTTCTGAAGATTTAAAGTATTTGTAAATCATCCTTGAGAGAACTAACTTTGGAAAGAGTATTTCAAATGGACTTTTTTGAATAGCAAATGCGTGTTTCTGCCTCAGAAGGAAGAAGGGAGAAAAGAAGTCCATTGAAAACTTTCCACTGAATGCTTCTGAAACTACTTCAATCTGCGAGCATGAAAATGGACATTTTAGAAAGCTTATGCAAAGCTTTGCAGTTGTAGGAAAAAATTTAAGAAAGTAGAAAGTTTATCAACTCAAATAAATTTTACAGTAGTATACTGCAATCTTCATTGCAGTATCTTAAACAAGTAATAGAACAGTGTCTTTTCAACTCATTCATAATTCAATTAGCACTAATGAAAGCCCCACAGGGTACATTGTATTAGACAATGAAATTGCTACCTGAGAAACCCTTCCAGATAATGCCCAGTGAGTACAAAAGTCAGGATTGCCAGGAAAGAAAAACAGTAGATAAATACAAGTGTGCAAAAACTCTGCCCTGTGCATTTCAGCCAACTATAGCATTAATATATCTTGCGCACCGTTTTGGTGATATCAGAGACTTAGCACTTTCACACAGTGCAAGTAAGTAAGAAAAAGCAAAGATTTCTTTTGGATGGGAAAGTACAAACATCCATTCATAAAATCGTCATAAGCACTTTTTTTTTTATTTTTAATCAACACTGGCGTTGTCACAGCCTGCTTGATCTTCCTACTTTGGGTTAATATGGAAGCCAATTACAGCTTCATCTGTGTAGAATTAACTTTATGGAGCACACACCGGGGATTTGTCTATCTTCACTATTTAGAGATATGCCATAAAAATATGCGTAGAATGGAGTGCAAGCACTGCAGATGGCAGAGACTTTCAGATTTATTGTAAAATCATTTAAAATCGGTTATGCTCTTGCCAGAAGTTAATTAATTTTTTTCCTGTTCTTTTCTGGGCTGGGGGTCTGGGGTGGGGGTGGGGGGGCTCTGTGTCTCACTAGGTGGCAGTGTATGATTACATCTGGAAAAGCCCTGGCCTCCAGTCCAGTGTTGCCAGCTGTGACCTCCAGCATCAGAATGGAATTTCTGTGTCTGCGCGTGGTCCAGGAGATGTTACTTCTCATGTGTCCATATACACCGTTTATCCCAGTGGGTTCCAAGAGCTGTATCGCCATTTTCTCAGATGCCCTGGTGGTGCCATTGTTGAGGTATGTATCTATGGAAATATTTTGATGTAAATTCTGTGTATATTGCATCTTGTAAATATGGATACCTGTGTGTGTATATGTGTGTGTGCTTATACACCATTGCAAAGGCTTCAGTGTTACTTGGCAAACATTATAACAGAAAATTCTACTATGATAGGGGACTTGAACAGGTATTTTAGCTTTTGCCTAAAGAAATAAGAAGCCACATAGGAAAAAGATCATTTCTGCATGTAACTATGTCGAAAGAGGCAAGTGATAATTCAGGGTTCTCTCTGTGCTAACGTTTACCCAGTTAACATCTGTAAACATTAGCAGCCTGGTGGTGTAGAGTTCTCTGAGTCCTCTGGCGATTCTGTGCCTGAGGATCTCTTCCACACCAGACAAGATGCTGGACTTTCACTTCTCCCCCCAACAAATCTTTAAACATAATGTCCTCCATCCAAATCTTTACAAACATCATAAAAAGAGCATTTGGAAAAGATTTTTGGAAGTTATGTTTTCTCCAAAAATGCCAGTATTTAAGTGTAGTGAAATTGATTTTTAAAAATAAGTTATTTTTAAAAATTAATAAAGAGAACAGACTTCATGTAGTTCACAGATACAATCTAAGAATATAATAACATGTCTTTATTTCTTTCTCTCCCTCTCTCTCTCTTTTTGTCTTTCTGTCCTTCCTTCCTTAATTTTTGCAGTAACATATTTTTAGTTCATTTTATAGTTCACAGGGTTACTGCTCCACTAAATAGAGTTCAACAGGAACAAAATAGAAGGACTGCTGTTCGGAAGGAATATAGACCCAGGCCACACTTGTTTTATCACTTCTCAGAATCCACAACCTCAAGGCAAGCTGAACTCAGATCTGTCCCATTAGTGCCCGTGATGTTACACTATGAAATCTGAAAGAAAGTTTCTATGTGATGGAGATTAAAGATAGACAAGAAGGAAAATGAAGATCTATTTATTTCTTGCTTTCATGCAGCACACTACTAAATGTTTAGAATTTGAAGGATATTCCCGCTCCTATCAAACATTCCCTATAAAGTTAGCCATTGGTCTTGTTACAAAGTTGATAAAATCCCCTTGCATACAGTCTTGAGGATATTTCGAGTTGCTTAGTGTACAACATCTCAGGGAGGAAGTTTCTGCTTTCTGCAAAGTGAGAGCTGGTGACATTGTTTGGGTACCTGAGGAGCCGCGTGTGCATCTCCTCGGAAAAGTGCATGGCGGCTGGGGCGGACTAGAATCCTGAGCAGGTCACCCTCCCCTCTCCCTTACGAAGGCGCAATGTAACAGGGAATTCTGTAGATTGTAGAAAAGCAGGAGGTGGTCAGACGTAACTGTATCCAAGGTCATTCTTTGGAAGCTTGGGTCGGGCTGAGATATTGGCACTTGTACATGTGAGACATTTGCTCTAGGAATTTCTTTGTCAAGCAAAAGTGCCAGAACTTTTCTTTTTTGTTTTTTTTTTTTTTTTAATTTGCATAGGCATATGCTTAAATCCGTGTGCATACAGTTCACTGAAATATGCACTGGAATAACAGACAGTGGAGATATGAGATGCCAGGGTTGACTTTCAGCCATAAACTATTTGGTAGCTCCTAGACCAGGTGAAAACCCAGGAGGGAGGTGATGCAGGTTCATGAGCACAGCCACCACCAGGGCCCTTCGATTGCCTCAGTTCTCCATTTGCTCCATAACCTTGGCTTAGTCATTTCTCTGCCTCTTTCCTTATCTGTAAAACTGGGTTATGAATACTTATACTACCTGGCTCACAGGGATTTGTGGCAGGTTAATGAGATAACAGCCTCAAAGTACTTTTAGCTCTTAAAATAAATGGTGCAATAAAGATTACCAAGTATTATAGATCATGCACAACTAAATTAACTGAATTTGTCGACATTTTTTCCCAGTACCAATAGTAACATTATGCTGGAACAACCAAACTCATTTCTGGGAGAACCGAGTGTTGAGGTAATAGATATTATTGACCTATGTGGCTTTCATTGCCTGGGTTTCCCATACCACACCATTGCCTTATGTGACAGTAATGCATTGATAGGAGCCTGGGCCTCACTGAATGAAATTCAGCCAACAGTAAGCAAGTTTTCTCCCTTTCCAGGTCCCAGCAAATGCTCTGGGGTTTGCCTGTTTTTTTTTTTTGTTTGTTTGTTTGTTTGTTTGTTTGTTTTGAGTACACACCTAGCCATTGATTTCTCTATGCTGTACTTGATCTGCTTCCTTCTCTATGAAATCCATTCCAAACTGCATTCTCCTGTGTATACTTTCTCTAACATTTATCACAAGCAATAGAATGCATTCTTTAAGCGTATTGTCATTCTTAAATTGTATCTCCTGTAGAACAGGGACTGTAAAGCGATGCCAGTCACCGAGCAAACTGAGAATTAGGCAAATCTTTGTGGCACTTGTCTGGCTGTTCAGCAGTCTTCCCATTTTTGTTTATTCTGATCCCTAATGGGGATTATCAGATCTCTCCATTGACCTTTCACGCTACAGACCATGAAGTTGCAAGGGAGCACTCTTTTGCAACCTCTGTGAGAAACAAAATCCATGTGTTACCTGTCCCAAGATGCATGCTTTTTAAGGAAATGTCAAGTAACAGCATACAAGTGGATTATGCTTTCTGGATGAAACACCCCTTAAACTATTCAAATGATGCTTTGTAAGAAGCCACCTACATGCCCTTCAGTTAGCTTTCACTCTTGAAGTCTCTAGCTTTGTATTAAAGTAGTTAGTCAACGCTCAAAGAAGTCTATTGAATTGCATGGAATTTGGGGATTCTAAATTATTCTCTTGATTCGTTATTAGGCACCTTGAAATTCTTACCATCAATGGCCATATTGTGTGAATTCACGGAACCTACATTTAGGAATGATTTAGACATAGTTATACACATCAGTAAGTCCCTTTCGGTGTTTTGGTCAGAAATTATGATATGCAAAGAAACGGTTGTGTCTAGCCCTAATTTATTTACAAATTATATATGGCAGTAAATTTGAAGCATAAATGGTTGCTAAAATTTGGCTTCACTCTTATATCCTGAATTCTCATCTTGAAGGCTGTATGTGGTTTTTAAATAGAGTATCTTGTTATCTCTACATTTCTTTTGCATTCAACACAATTGAAACTTGTAACTAGAGTGATTCCTAAGTCTCTCCTAATTGTGACAGTGGAATATAGGTCATATATCACCCTTTTCTGCTTCTTTTGTTTTTCTCAATAAAACCTTAGTATTTTGAGTTTGAAGCAAGCTATTTTCAAGTTTTCCCTTGCTTGTAACAATATACTTTTGGAAAAGAACGGTTTCTGACTAAACAGGTCAGATTTCATGAGTCTGGAATAGAAGGCATGTTGCTAACAATATTATCTATAGATATGTGTTCATAATGTGTTCCATCTAGTTTTACGGCCCACAGTTAGGGAGCTCTTAAGGTGTTCTACCTGTTTTGCTTTTTAACAAAATTCCACCCACCACTTGTCAGAGATGGTCATTGGTTAGCCACTCAGTGAGTGCCTCTCCATTTTACTTTCATCAGTACTTCTGGGCTCCATGAAGTCCAACCACTCCACAGAATAACACATTGTTTCTTTGGTAGATAGGTAGGGTGATCTTGAAGTATTTTGCAAGGAACAAATTTACTTAAAGTTTTTAGTGCTACAAAAGCTAGAAACTCAGGCAAGATCATGCAGATTCATCAAGTCACAAATAAGTTTCCTGATCCCTGGGTATCAGTCGCAATTAAGAAAGTCCTTGGAGCATTAGTTGGAGTGGAATGGGAAAACGGTTTTTGTCATTAGAGGCAGTGTCTTCTGGTGGTCTGGGTGGAGAGCTGGGAGTCAGGAACTCAGCGATCACACAGAGGCTCCGCACAGCCCTCGCGGCTCTAGGCAAGCGGCTGGGTCTCAGGAGACGGGGCCTCACCTACTTTGAATCTCCCATCTGAAGAATTCCTTACCCAGGGCCAGGGGACACACAGCAGGAAGCCTGATTCCTTGTCTGCAAAATTAGAATATTAATACTTGCCTAATAATGGATTAACCAATTAGTGATTGCTAAGTGCTCCGCTGATGGAAAGCAGCAGGAGAAGAAAGGAGAAAACGAAAAACCAAAACACAATTTGATGATAAGATGGGTTTTACTCACCCCTGTGCATGGAGTCCACTGACTGCTCAGTGCAGACAGCAAGCTTCAAGACTGGACCTTGGCTCAATTCCCCTCGAAGTGAAGCTACAAAGTCTGCAGGAAACTTTGCATAAATGGGGTGGAGGGCAGAGAAGGAGCACATTTTCTCTTGAACAAATGAATTGCAGATCAAAACCTCACAAATAATCCAGAGCTTCTCAGTTTTGACTCATTTGTTTTAATTTCTGCCAGAAAAGGCTATTTAGTATATTTGAGAATTCCTATATTTATATTCTCCAATGACCAATTTGTAGAGTATACCTTGTACATGCATAAGACAGGCTGGGTAAGATATACATAATAAATTAGAAGAGAAATTAATAGAAAATATGCACCTACAGGCATTTGTTTTGCTGATGTCAATTGTTGATGATATCTTGCATTTTCATGGAGAAAATTATTCCATCGGCTTTTCCTTTTGGTAAAAATCTTTGCACATGGGAAAAAGGAAAGCCATACTTGTGTTTCTCATTTGGCCTAGTTTCTGGCTGCTTTGAAGATAATATTAAAACTAATTCATTTACACAAAATGGAAGAAAGTCACAGTTTCACTCTCCAGATTTAGAACAGTAAACATGTGTTCATTACAACAGTACAAGAAGATTCAATAGGTCCTTGCGGTACACTTCGTGTATCTGAGTACATTGAGAAATATACATTGAAATAAAATGGCACTGGTCATATCTGCATCACAAATTACTAAAAATGTCAACAACACTGATTTTTTTTTGTTTTAATTTTTAGATTCAAATATATATATTTTCGTTCATTGAGTTTTTAAGATTTTGCTTGCTTGGAA